GGCACCACCGATCACATCCAGCCTTACTTCAGAGGCAAGCAAGAAGTCGCGACTCAACCCGAATCAATCGACGCGTCCATCGACACCTCATTTGCAAAAATACGAGAATCCCTGGAACGCTTCACGCACATGGGCGACAGGGTCTACCTGGACATAGCAAACTACGTGCCGTTCAAAGGAGGGTCAGACTACAAGAAAAACAAGCCATGGTCAACGTCAAAAACAAAGGCGACGACTGTTTACCGGTGGCGATCATAGCCGACTTGCATCCGGCTAACCATCATACAGACAGACTTTCCAGCTATCCCTCCATCGAGGAATCCGGCCTCGACTTTACGGGGATAGACATGCCTACTCCCATCTCACAAATCACTCGAGTGGAAAAACAAAACTGTCTGGCTATTAACGTCTTCCGACACGAAGGGAACACAACTATTGTGCACAGGCTAAGCCCCGTCCTAGATAAAACCGTGCGAAGGATCAATTTATTTCTGATCGAAAAAGAGGACAAGTATCACTACGCAACGATTAAAAGTTTCAGCAGACTGTTGTACGATCAATTGAATCACGCCGGGGAAAAAAACCTTTTCCCAATGGTGCCTCCACGGCTTCACGCGAGCCGACCTGCTGGAATTGCACCGGGAAGATTGCCGAGGCGTGGGACAGATGGCCGTCCGCATAGACATGCCCGATGAAAACGACGTCTTGAAATTTATCAACCACAAGCATCAAATGTCTGTGCCTTACGTCATGTACGCCGACTTTGAAGCCCTCATCAAAAACGTTGACACCGTCGCTCCGTCCGTCCCCGGACAAAAGTTTCACGCACAAAACGCAAGAGCACGAAGCTTGGGGGTTCGGTTACATGGTCGTTCGATGCGACGGACAAATGAACACTCCCGTGGTCTACCGAGGTCCCGACATGGCCGAAACATTTCTCACGTTCTTACAAAACGAAGAGAGAAAAATCAGGAAAGAGTTGTCAGATCCTGCTCTCATGTGCATGAGGATAAACTCACTCACAAGAAGGCTAAGAATTGCAACTTGTGCGACGAACCCCTGAACGGGTTATTCCGTGAGAGATCACTGCCACGTCACCTGCAAGTACAGAGTGCAACCTGAAGCTCAAAATCAATCCCAACACCATCAAAATCCCTCTCGTGTTTCACAACCTTCGGGCGTTATGATTCCCACTTGATCATGCAGGCTATTGCGAAGGTCGACGGCAAAATAACGTGGATCCCCAACAACATGGAAAAATACATCTCGTTCTCCTTAGACGGTCTGAGATTTATCGATAGCGTTCAGTTCCTGCTGTCGTCTCTAGACAGTCTGGTGAACGCCAACGACCCGGACGACTTATACATCACCAATCGATACACCAACGCCGAGACTCGACCCCTGCTGCTGAGGAAGGGCGTCTACCCCTACGAGTACATGGACGACTGGTCCAAGTTCGACGAGATGCGATTACCTCCCATCGACCGCTTTTACAGCAACTTGACCGATTCCGTTATCTCTCAGGACGATTACGCGCACGCGATTAACGTCTGGGACAAACTGGGCTGCAAGAATTTGGGCAATTACCACGACCTGAACTTGAAAACGGACGTACTGCTGCTGGCCGATGTGTTCGAGATATTCAGAAAAACTTGCTCCCTGCGTGGTATTTCTCATTCCTCTCTTGGGACGCCTTGTTGAAAAAGACCAGAGTTAAATTGGAATTGTTAACGGATTACGACATGCACCTGTTCATGGAAAAAGGCTTGCGAGGTGGGATTTCCAAACGATACGCCAAAGCCAACAACAACTACGTTCCCGGTCACGAACCCGGCAAATGGACCAAACACATACTCTATCTCGACGCTAACAACCTGTACGGCTGGGCCATGAGTCAGTATATCCCCACTGGGGGATTCGAATGGGTCTCCTCGCCCGAGATGATTGACGTGAATAGCATCACCCCGGATTCGAACAAAGGCTACATGCTCGAAGTGGACTTGGACTATCCCGCAGAACTACACGAATCACACAACAGCTATACGCTAGCTCCCGAACGATTGACAGAGAACCCGGACTGGATGTCCATATATCAACAAAACTTGCTGGGAAACAATAAGCCGGCTAACATTGAAAAACTCGTGCCGAACTTGATGAACAAGTCAACATAAGTTGATCACTATCACAATCTACAGCTGTACTTGTCGTTTGGAATGAAACTCACAAAAATACACAGGGCACTCGAGTTCGATCAAAGTCCGTGGATGGAGCCTTACATCCGAATGAACACAGACTTGCGAAAGCTGGCCATCAGTGATTTCGAGAAAAACTTCAACCGAAGCAAGATATTCGACAACGACTTGGCAGCGCTGCACATGAACAAAAGCCACATCAAATTCAACTGGCCTGTTTACGTGGGGATGAGCATCCTCGACTTATCCGAACACTTGATGTACGATTTCTACTACAACGAGCTGAAAAAAGCAGTACGGCAACAGGTGCGAAATGCTGTACACAGACACAGATTCCCTGCTGATGGAAATTCACACCAAGGACGTGTACAAGGACATGAAGAAACACATGCACCTGTACGACACCAGCGACTACCCTAAAGATCACCCTATGCACAGCCAAGTCAACAAAAAGTGCTCGGCAAAATGAAGGACGAATGCGCGGGCACGCTGATCGCCGAGTATGTTGGCTTGAGACCCAAGATGGATTTCATCAAGAAAGCAAACGACGATGAAATCCAAAAGGCGAAAGGCGTGAAAAAATACGTGGTGAAAAAACATATCAAGCACGCTAGATTCAAGGAAGCCCTGTTCCAGAATAAAACGCTCAAATACCAATTGAACATGCACAGACACAGGATATACAACAAGACCTCGCTGTCTCCCATGGACACGAAACGATAGATGGCCATCGACGGAGTCACCACTTACGCGTACGGACACACGCACATATTAAATAAGTAACACACAGGCAATACATACATAATGGAGAAACTTTATTGCAGCCGGCGCGGGTACCGGAAAGGCGCGGACGCCATCCAAAAAGTCGCCAAAGCAGCTCGAGTTTCAGAAGAGAAAGCCAAAGCCTGGCTAAAAAAACAAGCTATCTGGCAAGTCTACCTACCGGACAATTCGACATTTCAACGCCAAATCACGTGCACCAAGCCGACCTCCTGTTTCTCCCTGACGACAGGGTGAGACGTAAATCCTACAAGTACGCTCTGACAGTCGACGTCACTACAAGGAAGCCGAACCATTGACGACCAAAGATTCGAACGAAGTCGTCAAAGCCTTAGAACGCATCTACAAACGCAGTCGCTTGACATGCCTACTGTATTGCAAATCGATCTCGGACGCGAGTTCATGGGAGCCGTGTCGCAGCTGCTGGCCAAACACAAAGTCCAAGTGAGACAAGGTATGGCGAGAGATTCAATCGCACCTTAGCCGAACGCCTGTTCTCGCACCAATACTCGCAGGATTTAATGGATCCCGGAAACAGAAACACGGAATGGGTCGTACGCTTACCGCGAGAGGGGGATCAACAACGAAGTCACCAGACTCGTGGGCAAGAGATCCGTCGAAGCCATCAAAATGAAATCTGTTAACACCAAATCGGCATCAGCATGTCGCGATAAAACGGAGAAAACATTACCAGACCGTGTCAGTGTTAGATACTTGTACGAGCCTGGCGAATACGAGGGAGACAGCAGAAAACGCGCCGCCGATCCGATATGGTCATGAAAACATACAGCCAATTTTGCATGCAACTCAGTAGTAGTATACACAATGGTGGTACGGGATTAGGGACTCCTCAAGGGCTCAATTTTTTAAATTGAGTCCTTGGGGGGACCTGGTCCCATACCACCATTGTGTATACTACTAATGTGATATTTTGAAATTTACAAATATAAATTCAACTTTAAATAAATTCTGTGTTCTAAGATCCATTGAATAATGCCAGTAAATTATTTTTTGAAGGATGACCCCCAGTTGTGTGTGCCGTATTGTTGTTGCCTGTGCTGTTTTGCACAACATTGCCATCTCCAAGGGTGAACCTCAGGATGAGAGGGACAACAGGGACGACCAACCACCCATTGATGCCTACGCAGGACAACATGACGGCAAAGGCATACATGATCATGTGGCTTCCACATTCTTTGGACACTAACATATGATAGTACAAATGTGGTGTACATCGACATGAGTTACTGTTATACTTGTATAAATTTGAAACGTAATGAACATGACCTAATATCATGAGATATCTCATTCTTATTGATAGTTTTGTACAAATAGCCTGATATGTTATCTGTATATCTTATGTATCCCAACACGAGCTGAATTCGACGTTCTGGTGATTTCGACGATTGCATTGCACGCGCTATATCGGGGGAGTACGTGTGCGATCGGAGTGCACAAACAGTTTCACTGGTAGGGCGGATGCCTCGTCGCTGTCGTGAGAAGTTTTATTGACAATGGAAATCGGGAAGTAAAGTTATATAAAAAGTAAACAAACATCAATATTATTTACCCGAGATCGTTAATACCACTTACGATGCAAAATCAGTTCCCTTTATAACAAAAAATAGCAAGCGAAAATTCAGTTATATCAGTCGTCTGCTGGTGACAGGCAATATATAAATAGGAAGCCACGTGATCACAACACTCCCTCGCGCAGTGCGGAGCAAAAAGTATGGCTCATCATCGAAAACCCATACAAAATACCCGGATGTTACGAGCGGCAACAGTTTCACCGATACGATTTCATCAACGCTATTTTTGTAGGGAACACTTGATATTTTTGTGTGAAATAGATGAATATATCCTTTATCACTCAAGGTTAGTAAAATACAAACTTTAAATGATATTACAGATAAAAAATACGTTTTTGTCTTACATCGTCGAAAACCCCTGACACCGGGATACATTTTTAGAATATTTGTTACTTGCTTTTTCACTCAAAACAAACAAAGCACAAGAAGATCAATGTGAAATAAAATAAAGCTTTATTTCTTGACTCAAAAACAAAAAACTTTTCTTATTTCCAATATCTTATTGCATTCGTGACACTAGTATCTGGGATGGTGTCATCTCTTCGCAAACTTGTTTGCCCTCTTGCATTTCCAGCACCTTTATTTGGAGAAGCAGTTTCTTCATGTGTAGCTCCTGTAGCTTCCGTTCTCCAGAAAGAACTTGCTGCTGCAGCTCGTACACCTTCTCACATGAACTTGGCTCGTTCCTTGTCCAGTGTGTGAAGACAGTTGTGGTCTGAGAAGTGGAGGCTATAGCTGGAGTGTTGCTGGTGGAGGCTACATCTGGGGTCTGGCTGGTGGAGGCTACAGCTGAGGTCTGGCTGGTGGAGGCTACAGGTGGAGACTGGCTGGTGGAGGCTACAGGTGGAGACTGGCTGGTGGAGAATACAGCTAGAGACTGGCTGGTGGAGGCTACAGCTGAGGTCTGGCTGGTGGAGGCTACAGGTGGAGACTGGCTGGTGGAGGCTACAGCTGAGGTCTGGCTGGTGGAGGCTACAGGTGGAGACTGGCTGGTGGAGGCTACAGCTGAGGTCTGGCTGGTCGAGGCTACAGGTGGAGACTGGCTGGTGGAGGCTACAGCTGTAGTCTGGTTAGGCGTCATCACGATGGCAGACTCGGACGTGACCGTCTCAGCAGCTGTGTCAGTAGGGAGGGTCGCTTCACACTCGTCATCACCTGATGATGTTTATAAAATACGATATATTTTCCATCAATATCTAAACATAAAGTGATCTTGATTTAAGTGTATATCATTTCTTGATAATGTTAAATGTTGAACCGACATTAATATATAATATACCTTGATATCTATGTCAGTTCAACATATATCTTGGTATGATATACATATATGTATCTCACTAAATACGAAGTAATTCTCTTGAAATATTCTTTGTTTCCAATTAAACTTTAATTTTAAACGGGTACATAAGATATACCTGAAAAGCGTTAAATCTTGTGTACAAGGGACAGCACTCCGTATGGCACATATGTAAGAGTAATCTGTTTAAGAGTTATTCCCCTTGTAATGTACTCTCCATAAGGGGTCGTTACTCAATGCCATATACACAATGATGGTACAGTAAAACTTTGTAAATGGATACCTAACAGTTTTGTTGGAGAGAACCATCCCATGATCAAGGTCAGTAATATTTATTTCAATATGTATTTTCTCGAGCTGTCTACAGAATACTATGATAGAGCAGTATTGAAGATCTAAACGGGACGGTAATATTGACGAATTATTTGAATTCTTCGAGCTCCCCTTCCCATGGATGGATTTTAATTATATTCTTACTAATCATTACAGCAATAGACCTTAATTTCCTTATCATTCTTCGATTTTTATTGAGGCAAATTAAACACAAAACCATCCTATGAAATGTCTATATACGGTATAAATTGACGAAAACCTTATTAGCATAAACATTGCTCTGGCAACTGATGTGTAGGAAGATAAACCAAACATTAATGTACATGTATATATCTATTTCTGTTGTGAGTGATATGCAGGCCTAGGTTGTACATCACATAACTTTTATATGAAAATGTTATGTTTCAAAATTGAAACCTAGAGAACCGTGCCAGTTATATGCAGACACTTGACGTCATTTCCATAGACTTGCATGTTATTTCAGTGTAGCATAAATAATGTTCATGAGGTGAGTTTAAGATAGATCTTTGTCAAACTTGACAGGCAAATTTGAAATCGTCTCTGCTCTGCGCACATAATTTCAGTTCAATTGTCCGACCACTATTTAACTAATGACATCACAATTATCAACTTACGTATAGTTCCACAATGCACAATCCCATAGGCCGCCATGTTAAAGGAGTTCACGGCACTGTACATATGTTGATTAAATTGTTGCCATTCGATAAATAAGCAACGGAAAATTAAACAGAAATTATGTGATTGTAGGTAAGATGAATCCTCACAAATGTGCAAAATTTGACTTTGATCATACAAAAATTAAATTCATGAAAATTATTTATGCTACACTAAATTAACATGTATAGTATGACCTGAAATTATTGAGAATTTTAGGAATATGTTTAATTGGATTTCTAGTATAAACAACCTTGACCAGCTATCAAGTGCTTGGTTTCATTCAAGAGAGACAACTCCGTTAATCCTTTTTCATTAGTTTTTGAAGGGTAATCCCCCTTTGTGTACTTGCTAGCAGACGACATTTTCAGTGATCCTCAGAAGGGATGATTTAGAAAAGAGGAATTTGATTTTAGAGTATTATAACAAGGCTATCAGATCAGCTAAAGTGATTCCAAGAAGAACAGGCATCTCTTTGTCCACTGTTTATTGTGTTTTGAAAAATATTGCAAATGGATATGGCATTGAGCACCAGGGAGGCGCAGGCAGGCCCAGAAAATTGACTGTCGGTGACAGGAGGCGGCTTGGTATTCTTGTTTCTAAAAACAAAAGAAAGGAGTTTAGAAAACTTAAGACTGGATATGATTGATAGAGGAACTGTGGCTGTCTGTAAGGAGACAATTAGAACTGAGCTGCATGCAATGGGTTGGCAGAAAAGTCGAGGAATTCCAGCACCGATCATGAAACCTGAACAAAAGGAGCGAAGGTTGAACTGGTGCTTACAGCATAGACATTTTAACTGGGACAATGTGATTTTCTCAGATGAAAGTTCTGTGTGGCTGTTTCATAATACACTGAAATTCTGGACCAAACAAACTGAAAAACTTTTGTATCAGCGCCCAAAGTACAGTCCGAAATTTAACGTGTGGGGTGGCATATCTGTGTTAGGGGCCACGCCCCTCTGTGTATTTGAAGGGAATATGAACAGTGAGCGGTACACAGATATTCTCGAGGGACATTTACTTCCATCTGCTCACATGTTCTATGGAAATGTTTGGATTTTCCAGCAGGACAACGACCCTAAACATCGTTCAAAGCATTCACAGGCTTGGTTTCAGACCCAAAATATGACATTATTAGATTGGCTAAGCTATAGCCCTGACCTAAATCCAATAGAAAATGTTTGGGGACTTATGAAGGAAAGTGTCAATAAGAAAAATCTGACAAACATTGCTGAAATGAAAGAAGAGGTGGTCCGATATTGGGACAGCATGGACCACGACTTTCTAACTTCTTTGATCAGTAGTATGCCCCGCCGCATTGAAGCCTGCATTGCTGCCCATGGTGACTTGACAAAATACTAACTGTTCACCTGTCTTTGAATCTGGAATTATGTTCTGCTAATATTCACATTTAATACGTGAGTAATGAGTGAAAAAAATATAAAAAATACAATCTTTAAATTCTCAATAATTTCTGGCTGTACTGTAAGTCTATGGAAGTTACCTCAAGTGTCCGAATATAACTGGTACGGGTCTGTAGATCCAGATTATGCCATATTTGGTATCAAGTTCAAGGTCGACAGTAAAAATAGATCTAGATTATAGACATTACCACATGGTTTGTTGTCCCATTTCTACCTGAGATACTGTGAGTGAAATTTATTTTTATTTCCCATTTTGTATATAGGCCTAAATTTCACTTTTCGTAATTGCCAATGACCTTTGTTAAATAGATAGATTATCGGTACGTTGGTGCATTATTTAACAGAGCATATAACTTCATTTTTGTCGAAGTAAACCAATTCATCATTTATTGTTTGAGGATTTATTGAAACCTACACTCTGTCTGTGACGCCGTCAAAACTTACCAATCGCGAGTCACGCATCATGTCAATGATGCGGCTGGTTACTTGACTTAGCTCAGGCGGTGGTGGTCCTCCGCCGGTCTTCCTTGGCTGAATTCTGTGTTCAGTGTACTGTTTCTTGGCCTTCCGATTCATGTTTGTCCACTTCTCTCTCACTTCAGTCAAGGACCTCGGAGCTACCCCCTTGGCATTCACCTCTCTTACAATCTCTCTCTCTCTCTCTTTCTTCCCGTGAAGGAATAAACCCCTCGAGGGATGTAAATGTTCCTGCGTTGAGTATGCTGCGCAGCCCGCCAGGGTGGAAACCAACAGTCAATTGTCTAAATATTTTTGTGGTTTCTTTTTCCATAAAAGCGAATGTATGTTCGCAGCATATTTGTGTTTTTGAGCATAGATAAAAGGAAGTGGGTACAGTTCACTCGTTCATGACATGCTCAACCCTGAGCGATGTCTGAAACACAGATAAGGTTGGTGACAGTCTGGTGGATGGTGGTATGCCGTTCCACATGATGATTGTTCCAGGGAGGAAGCTTTGTAGAAAAAGTTCTGATTTCCCTCTTATTTGTGCAATGTTGTTATTAGATGATCTTCTTGTACGGGAGTCAACTCCGTGAATGTAGTTATGTAGGTCGGTAACGATGATGTTATTTATAACCTTGTAAAAAAAGGTGGCTCTGGCCCTAGCTCTCCTGAGTGAAGGGTTTCCCATCCAAGGTGTTGTAACATTGAAGTGACACATCCTTGATCATAATCAGTGTAGTTGTTGCACACAAATCTGGCTGCTTGCCTCTATACCCTCTCCAAGGTATTTACATGAAGCTGTTGATAAGGGTCCCAAACTGTGGAGGCATACTCCATGATAGGACGGGCTAGGGTGGTATAGGCGCATGCCCTCACTAGTTCAGGGCAAGCTCTAAGGTTGCGCCTCAGGAAACCTACAGTTCTGGTGGTGCTCTGGATTTGCGTCTTCCATGAAAGGTCACTTGAAATGTTGACACCCAGGTATTTTGCGGTATCGAGGGTTTCTAAGTTGAATCCGTGAAGGTTGTAAGAGTGACGTAATGTCTTCCGTTTCTTGGAGATGTGCATGGTTACGCATTTGGATGGATCAAAAGCCATTTGCCATGAACTTTCCCAAGTCTGAAGGTTATACAGGTCCTTCTGCAGTTTGAGACTGTCTGAAGGATTACGTATGTGTCTAAATATGATACAATCGTCAGCGAAAAGTCGTACTTCGGAGTCCACTGAGTTAGGTAAGTTGTTGATGTAGATCAGAAAGAGTGGAGGGCCAATGGCCGTACCCTGTGGTACACCAGATAATACGTCAGCTTCAGAGGATGACATTCCGTCGAGAACAACTGTTTGTTTCCTGTTCTTCAAGAAGTCTTCGATCCATCGCTGTATGTTGTTACGGATGCCGTAGTGATGTAACTTAAGTAGTAGCCGTTGATGCCGAACTTTATGGAAGGCTTTTGAGAAGTCAAGCAGTATCATATCCAACTGCTTTCCTTGGTCTACACTCTGAACGAACTGATGGATGGTCTGGACCAACTGGGTTTCACAGGAACGATAAAAGATCATGAAAGTCTAGATGTGAATTGTTGAATGACGTCAGCCATGTTCTTGACCCATTACAATTTGCATACAGAACAAGGCGCGGGGTAGATGATGCAACAATCACTCTGTTAAACAATGTCTATAAGCATTTAAAAAACTATGGAACTTATGTGAGAATAATGTTTGTTGATTTTTCATCTGCCTTTAATACTATTCAACCTCATTTGTTAATTGATAAAGTTTTCAAAATGAATGTTAATTCTAACATCATGTCAAATGGATTAAGTCATTTCTAGTTAACAGACAACAATTTGTACAGGTTAATAAGGTGAAATCGTCAGTTTTAAACACATCAACTGGCGCTCCACAAGGTTGCGTTATTCACAAATTTTGTTCATATTGTACACCAATAACTGTGTATCCAACACAGAAACATGTTTTACAGTCTAATTCACGGATGCTGCTGCATTGGTAGGCCTTATTAGGGAATCAGAACTTAGTTACAGAGCTGAAATTTCAATATATATGTTTGTCTACTAAATTGATGTATTTATATCCTGATTATTTTAAACAATAGTTTTATGATTACCATTTGCAATGTTATGTATGGCTGCTTTATTAAAGAAAAACTGGAGAACTGCATATGATGCAAAACAAATTTCCCTTTATTGGGATAATAAAGAATTATCTTATCTATCTTATCTTATGTGATATTATGGAGCTATAGAGGATGTGCTATGCGAGCTTGGAGCATATGGCGGTTAGTGAAACAGGTCTGTAGTTCGCAGCTACTGATTTATCCCCTTTCTTGAAAACGGGTGCGATATTGGCTGACTTCCAGTCAAATGGGACCGAGCTTGAATCCAGAGGAAGTTCGTAAATGCGTGCTAGCGCAGGGGTGATAATTGCGGCCACTTCCTTCAATAGTCTTGGGGAAACAGAGTCGGGGCCTGAAGCCTTGTGAGGGTTTAATCCACTGAGTAGTTTAAGGACACCTACAGGGCTGATCACAATTCCGGGCATCTCTGGGTGTGATCCAAGAGGTAAGGTAGGTAGGCTTGTGAGGTCCTCTTTGGTATATACAGAGCTGAATTGGGAGTTGAGAAGTTCGGCTTTACCAGCGGCATCACTAGTCAATAAACCTCTTGCATCTTTCAGGGCAGCTACTCCTGAGGCTTGTTGTCGTTTACTCTTGACGAATGAGTAAAATTTCTTGGGGTTACTGTGAAGGTCCGGACTGATGACGTCGGCCACATATGAGTTGGTCCTCTCTGACCATAATGTGTTTTTACGTTTCTTTGTAACTTCGGTCGAATGTTTATCCGATAGCAAAGACCAGCTGGCCTCAACCATTGACTGGATTACATTCTCCTCGTCAGCAGAGAAATTTCGGCTTCTCTTTTTCCTTGGGATGCAGGCGACATTTTGCGTTTCCATTTTTGGTAAACCGGCAGTAAACAGAAAACGGAATTGTGGAATGTATGGAAGCTAAGCAGTGACGTTAACTACACTGTTAAACTTTGACGGTGACGTTAGCTAACGGCATGACTAACCATCTTAGAGCATGGCCAAGTGTTATGGAGTCAAGCGCATTACAAATGATCTATATTATTATTATTATTATCTTTTGAACAAAGCATATTTAACGTTCGGTTAGCTAACGGCCGGTTAATGATTTAACCGGCCGTTATGAGTTAACCGGCGGTTAAGATAACCAAGTTTTGAACAACCGAGCCCAGGTATATAATATGGTAAGACAAGATATAACTTTATTATCCCGGAGGAAATTCTGTTTGTATCAAAAAGGTCTTTAAAATGAATACATACAAAATTCACAAAAATATGCACAATATTTTTCATGCACAAAATGAATGCTGATGATTCCATACAATAGTAACACCATAGGTAAGAGGCTGAGTTAGTAGTTATCGTATGCATGATGACTATTCAAAAACAATTGTTGCATTATTAACACGAATACTGGATGGTATGAAGGACTGTCGAGCTATGTAATCAAGCGGATGCCTGCTCGACGAGCCAAACTTACCACTGGGTGGAGAAGTTTTGTGAATGCTCTTGGAGGTGGCGCAAGTGTCAAAATTAATGGCAAGTATCGGAACTGATACAGAAGTAACAGAACACCCTTCAAAGAAAAGCAGAGAAGCTTATCCATGTGGATTGTCATTGGGAAGCTTAAGTAACCAACCTTTAGATCTAACTTCTAAAGGTTGTCCTCTTGGCAGATCAAATCCCTTAGAAAGTGTAGTCCTTCCAACTTGAAGTGTTTGTAAGGAATGTGAGCATTCAGGGCCTTGAGATCTATGATGGACCTCTGCCCCGCATCCTTCTTGGGAACCATGAACACAGGACTTGGAAACGAGTCCATTGAAACAGACTAGGGAACAACCTCCATCACATTTTTGCAAAGCATTGATTGGATCTCCTGGCTTAAAGCTATCTATATTTTAAGCTTTAGTTTTGGTTGATAGACATTATCCTGAATTGGTTTTGACAAAAGAGGAATCTCGAGAACCTGTCAGAATTATCAATTATTTCATCAAGTCCCTTCAGCGCTTCCGTATATCCGTATTTATCTTCAGCGCACGAGTTAGTATGTTGAGTGAAAAAGTTAATATACTAGTATTGAGCGCACAAGTTAGTAGCTAGAGCGCACAAGTTAACATCTTGAGCGCACACGTCAGTATGTTGAGCGCTCAACTTAGTATCTTGAGATACACTACTCCATAAGCAGTTCGTGTCGAAGCAACGGAAGGGAGGGAACGCGAGCTGATTCATGCTTATTTCAGTCTTTGGCTCCAATGCAAAGATATAATTTAACACATCTTCTTGTAAAAATTCATGGTATATTGTAAAGCAAAAGTCACCGTGTCCTTTAATCTGATTGGTTGAAAAACATGATCGAATGGTATTCGATTGCCGGATATTGCAAGACTATTCACTGCGCATTGACACGTACAATCGATGTCAATGAGTGCAGACATGCAGTAAAACCCATGTGGGCCTTTTGGTTTACTTTTGTGTTCACAATGTCGATAAACATCATGTTTATCTCCTAAGTATAGTACGCCACTTGAAGCGTATTCTGAGGTGTATGTCACTCTTTCTCACCAGATACCAGATTTGCTGATGTTACAGTGAGTGAGTGAGTGAGTACGGTTTACGCCGCTTTTAGCAATATTTCAGCAATATCACGGCGGGGCACACCAGAGATGGACTTCACACATTGTACCCATGTGGAGAATCGAACCCAGGTCTTCGGCGTGACGAGCGGACGCTATAAAACCACGAAGCTACCCCACCGCCTGGCTGATGTTACAGACTTTATTGCGGACAACTTCGACGATCTAAACACATGGTTATCGTTGGATGCATAAAAAATGTATCCAATGCGGTTTAATCGTGAAACAGGATACTGTACGGTCGTTGCTAAGAGTGTTGGACCTGTGCAGCTGCACACAACATGTGAAACTCAGAAATTGCTGTCCCTGTCGAAAGCTTGATCTTGGTCATTCAAACGTTCACAAATTCACATGAGAAGTCACATGCACATCATGCCAAGATTAACATCTGCTCAACGTCATGAAGCCATTGGAATGGTTCGAGCAGGCATGAGCCAACAACAGGTGGCAGCACATTTCCAATGCCATCGTAACACGATTTCTGCATTGGTCAGGCGTTATGGAAACAGTAATGACGTCGCCGACCACCCACGTTCTGGGCGTCCCCGAGTAACGACGCCAATTATTAAGACAGGACAGATGGATTTGGGTGACTCATCTCAGACACAGGTTCCAGACGGCAGTGACCACGTCCCAAACCATTCCCCAGACCTTCAGTGTTCATTTGTTAGCCTCTATGCGTCGTCGATGCACTACTGTGCTTCACGCGCATGATGGTCATACCCGTTATTGACTTTGTGACTTCGACATGTGACCCCTACTCAATTTTGAAATTCTGACGTCATCGTTACGGATATTGTTCATGTTCTTTTGACATGTTGTTGTGGCCTCGATACTTCAGCTTATAAAGTGTGTACATCATTTCGTCTTTTCTGTGTTGTATTCCAATTCTGAAGGAATTTTCTGTGTGCACAGTTTCTTTATGTCGATAGTATATATTGTTCTGAGTTAACCGCTTGGATGCCGAGTTTTTTTCAGGCGCACATTTTCATACGGTTTGAAAAGTGAACGTTGTGCGAGAATTGCCATCGCGTGGTCCTGGATCTACGTACGGCTATAAAAGTACACAGAAATGTAGAATATTAAATTTCCTATCCGTTGGTATAAATATAAGTGCACAGTATATTTCTCCGCTTTTTATCATCGCTCACCGATAAAAGCACTGTGCTACGATTTTTTTAATTTGGCATCTTTACGGAAAGCGTGAGCGAAGAAAATACAGCCTGATATCTGAACGACATAAGTGTATATGAATTGGGTTTTTGTACTTATGCATAACGTTATACGTTCAACATTAAAAATGACTCGCAATAAGTGTCAAAAATGGATTTTAAATAGGCGGGTTTTATATGATATTGTTCAGAGTTAAACTGCCATTGTACCCACGTTAGGAAACAGTTATAAATTACTGATCCATGCAAACCAAGACTACAGAATATAGTTCCCTGAAAGATGTTTACATTTTTCATGGTCATGTAATACTATATATACATAATAAAGCCGTAGCACAAAACAAGTTATCCAAACTTTACGCTAGTGTTCATAATACTTGTATATTAGAAGTCAGTAAAACCACTATTCACCCCTGCAATAAACTCTTACTCATGTTTATGTTTTAATTCTTATTATGACATTACACATACCTGGGCCTGATTTATGTAATAAAGCAAAAATTGGTAAAATCAGTTACAAAAAATAGTATTGACAAGCATAAAGACGATGAACATTTACATAAACATTATCAATGTTCATGATACATTTGCATACTTTTACATAGTCTCATCATAAACACCTATAGTTAACTCCGACTTTGCATCGTTTGAAATCTTCCAAAAAGGATACATCTAAAAGTTTGTACATTTTAGCCATCAGTCAAGCAAACGTGTGTTGTGCCCTTAAACGCACAATGGTCTTAAGTGCACAGAAATAAAAAACGTGCGTTCCATTAATGCCATTAGATGCTAAACACCAAGTTGAGCGCTCAAGATACTAACTTGTGCGCTCAAGATATTAACTTGTGCACTCAAGATGTTAACTTGTGCGCTCAAGAAAACTAACTTGATCGCTCAATATCTTAACTTGTGCATTCAACATGCTAACTCGTGCGCTCATGATATTAACATGTGCGCTCAAGATGTTAACTTGTGCGCTCAAGAAAACTAACATGAGCGCTCAATATCTTAACTTGTGCATTCAACATGCTAACTCGTGCGCTCATGATATTAACATGTGCGCTCAAGATGTTAACTTGTGCGCTCAAGAAAACTAATTTATGCGCTCAATATATCAACTTGTGCACTCAAGATAAGTTTTATTTCATCAGGTCCCTTCAGCGCTTCCGCACTTGAGACTTTTCAAAAATATTATTATTTTTTTAAAGTTGTCTTTTAAGACACATTTTTCGTTTGATCGGGCTGAAATTATTGCTGTCGGCGACATTTTGTAAAATAAAAGATTAATTTGTTTTGTTCCGTCGGAAGAAAAATTTTGGTGGGTCGGGAGATGAGAAACAGAAACAAATACGGACGGCCTTAGCGACAGGCCCTGCCTCGTGTTGGCAAACTAAATCACGTGACGGCCAAGATGGCGGCACCCATGTGAACTGTTTCAACGAGAAGGCATAGGCTTTGTTTGTGTTCGTTTTCCGTTGTCAAGCAGAACAAGCATATGTGACTGACTGAAAAGTATGTCAATCACGAAGCACGAAGAACATATGGTTGATTTGCAACATCAGCTACGAGAAAATCAACATGATGTTCAGGAGTTTTTGTCAGATTTGCAAAACTGGGAAACCCATATGCGAAAGAAAGACATCAATTTGAAGACGGACACACCGGTCCATAAAGCTGTAATTATTTTATCTGTGGGGAGTACTGCACTTTACCGGGCGCACTTTTTCAGATTAATTAGCGCTGCTGGTGTTCCCTAACCCTAACCCTAAGGATCGTAAAGGGTGCCTAACCCTAAACCCTAACCCTAAGGATCGTAAAGGGTGGCATACCCTTACCCTAAACCCTAACCCTAAGGATCGTAAAGGGAGCAGCGAGGGCTGCGACCGGTAAAGTGCATTCTAGCCTATCTATGTTTTACATGAATATATATTTTGTGACGAGTGCAGCTTTTCTTTGCGCTAATTTCTCTCGGAGGATTCAGCCTGCGACTTCGATCAAGCTCTCCTTTACAGTCATTCCATTCAAGTGAGTGGTTTAGTTTTACGCCGCTGTTGGCAATACTTCAGCAATATCACGGCAAGGGACACCAGGAATGCATGAATGAAATAGAATTAATTATGTGGAAAGAGTTCCTTCCGTTCCCCCAACTCTAAACCTAACCCTAACTTAAATTTTGGACTTTTAGTCATTTTGTGAGTTCTCTAGTAATTGTTGTGTTAAGTTTTGTTAATAATTTTAGTATATTTACAATGCCGTCCGGTAATTCCGCGCACCTAAGCACATCGATCACAACACGGCAACTAACGTCTATTTTTTTTATTGTGGTTTACGTGACTAAACATGCTGGTGTGCATCATATGTACCTAGAAATATAAGTTTTATTGACAACTATAAGATTCTAACGTTGCATTATGCCATACGGTTGACCTTACCGGCGTTCTGACGACATTGATTGCTGTCAGATAATTCTGCGCAGCAACTGATGCGCATAACATCCAGCTGGAGATCCGAAGTATGGAAGCGTATTAGGGCCAGATTATTTTTAAAAATCACTTCATCAATGTAAGGAAGAGTGTTTCATATTAAATCCAATTATGAATAGTGAAGAAAAAGGTATAAAAGTCTGAAGAAAACGAATTTTCATAAAACTGTCTATTTATCTGTCAATTACTATTATTTACTTACCTTTAGTGATTAAAAGCCAGTCCCTTGAAGAAATGTCCTGATTTCTACCGTAAATGTGGTAACAGACGATGTTTACCTTCGATACGGAAGTACGCTATTGCAGCTGCGCAGAATTACCGGACGTGCGGAATTACCAGACTATCGTGTATACATATTATTTGGGATGGGGGAACAGGAGGAACTCTTACCAATTATGTTACTTATTTAGCTTTTCACCAATGTGTCAAGCCCGTTCACTGCCGCCAATTATGTTTTTATATAACACGACGGAAGGGAATCATGGCAGTATAAATAGATGTTTTCTCACAACTAACTGTAACAGTTATCGCCATTCAGAATTTCTCATGCCATTCGTAAATATATATATTTATATCATACAGTAACCTCGAATAATTGATTGTGTGACTATTTGAGTGTTTCTTTTACAGTAGATTGATAGAGAATGAACAATGACTTGTGAACTTGAACTTGCTATTATATAGGTTGTGTGACATTCCCCAGACTAAGTTGAAAACAAATATAGGGTTCATAACTTTATCTTTAATTATGTTACTTGCCGTGGAGAATTTTCTTTTGCTGTCCTTTGTTGTGAAATACTGAAGGAAAAAATACTGGGATTGTAATTGACCGGAACTGCGCACGTGTGATCCTGATGTATTGGCGATAACTGTTAAGCGGCGGTAACTGTTCTGCAGCCAGTAGGGTGAATTTAGATATGCATCACCTGCAACATATATGTCAGTAAGCTTATATCAAATTTCAGTAGACTGTTAAGTGTTCAGGTCAACCATAAATGACAAATCCTAGGTAGGATACAGCCCTTCTCAGAATCCTCTCAGACATCTTTTGTTATCCCCATAGCACAAAGCAGCATGTCCATTGGTTGGACAATAGTTTATTTCTTTTGTTCATTACTGATGTGCTTGTGTGCCGTAGAAGCACTGCATATTTAATATGGAATTTGGTGCAAGTACCATTTGGCTAGGGTTCATTGATGGAGTAGGGGTGCTTCTCTCATAAACCTTTTTTTAAAATATTTTTTTTTATTCCATTTCAAGTTACAAGTACAGGCAGAAGAGTGACATGAGTTGGCAGTTACATCATTAAGTTAATATACAAAATTGTATACACATATGAAGGTGTACTATATACGGGAGCTTGATGAAAGTGTTATAACTATAATGGACACATTAGTTTGAGTAAGTTAAATTTTATGTGCTAAATTGAAATGTCAGAGTAGTGTATCTAAGTGATGCCATTTCCAAGTTAAATAACTATATTTATTATTTTACATTGCAATATAGCATATGTCCTTAAGCAACATAAGAAATCCTGCAAAATATATATCTTGCTGTTTAAGGCTTGAGGTATAAATGAATCTTTTAGCAAGTAGTAAAATGTGATTTACTACTTGATTGTTTGAGGACAGTTCCAACATAATAATGAATTTAGATAGTGTCAAAATTGGTTTGGAGGTTATTATTAACAAATTCTTCAACTTTAAGCCAAAGTTCCGAACAAATTGACATTCAAAGAAAACATGTGATATGTCTTCTGAGGCAGTTTTACACAATGTACATGCATCGTCATCAACTAACTTCATCTTCAATAATTTTGTATATATTATTCTGTTCATAAATCTGTATTGAAAGTCTAAGAGCTTACAGTCATTTGTACATTTCCTGTAATAGCTAAATACATCTTTCCAGTCAATCTCATGCTGAGAGATAGAGCTCCAATATTCTTATGACTTGTGTGATATCATTCTTAATTAGGTCCTCATAAAATTTCCTTGAGCCTTTTGCGTTACAGATGATATTTTTGTATATATTTTTAATATGTGGCTGATCAAATGTAAGTGTTCTGTTTCTTATCTGATATCTCCAATTGTTTGGAATATTGTTTAACAAGTGTTGATAGTCTAAGAAAATTCCCTGTGTTTTGTATCTGTTTTAAATTTTCATTCAAAACTTAGAAAGCCATTTTCATCACATGTATCTTTTATACTATATATGTTGTGACTAAACCAGTTTTTTATAATATATGATTATTTGAAAAAATGATTCAACCAAAGTAGTTGAGTAAAGATTTGGTCTACATCATTTTCCATAAGAGTAATTTTCTTATAGAATATCCTCCAAGCAGATAATACATCTCTCCAATAAGGATTATCATGGTCAGATAAACAGTCAACAGCACTGGAGCCAAGTAAGAATAAAGGAATAGCCTATTTTATATAGATTTTCAATGAGGATAATTTCAAAGCATTAATGAAACATTCTATATCAATCATCCTGAGCCTTTCTTTTCTTCCCCATCTTGATAACCTCTGTTTATAGTTTATCTCTATATTTTGATGTTATTATTTTTCCATAAAAATCTATAAATTATTTATTGAGTTCTTTCATGAATAGTGATTTTTCCATTAAGATTTAAATTTCTTCTGTGCCAATTGGCGAGTAATCTATTGATATGTTCTAAGCGTTTCCTTTAAGTGTTATGCCCTTTATGTCCGGATTTGTCCTTATCATAGTACCTAATATTTCAACTGAGAGAATGAATAAGTATGGTGCAATTGGATCTCCCTGTCTCCATCCCCTTTCAAGTCTGAAAAAAGATGACAGATGTCCATTTTGAAAAAGTGATGCTGTTTGTACATGTTAATTAATTGTTAGTAAAGGTCTCCTTTGTGAATCAAAATATCCATTGGCTTAAGTCCTTCTAAAAGAATTTGAAAAATTAAATAGGATAACCATCAATACCTGGGCTCTTATTGTTTTTCATGAATAAGACTGTTTTCTTTACTTCTTCCATTGTCAGGTCCTTTTCCAGGTCATTATACTCTTTCTCATTTATGTTTGGTGTAGTACATACTGAAGAAAGTATAGTGCCTTCACATGATTTGAAAAATACTGACATGGAAAATTTTAAGTTTTCTGTAACTAAAACAAACTCCATGAGTGTCCCAGTGAAGATAAGCGGCCATCCACATTTGGATTCAATAAATAAGTTACATGATGTCAACAAAATGATAGAAACAAACTTAATACTGCCCAAGTTTATGATCGAAAACCGGACATTGCATAGAATCTACATCAATTTGGGCATATCACGAGAACATTGAAAATGCTAATCCACTGGCATGGAGCTAGTGGTCGATGATTTGAAATTAATGAAAAGAACATAAAAGTAAAACAGAGTTCAGACAATATCCAAATTCAAAGTCCAACAACATAAGGTACCTTGTTTTCTTTATAAATAACCGGTCTGCAATGTGTCCAGTTGATGCACTGTAAACACAAACACTTTAGTCACGTGACCATCATGTGATAGTCATGTGATGTCTGTTTGTAAAAAACACGCATTTATTCAAAATGCCAGTCTTATGACTTATCTCATCAAGCCATTATGAGCAATTTACAGTTTTATGTTCTCAATGCTGTTGTCCAGATCGATGTCTGTCCATGCGGAAAACCTGTCCTGTCCTGTCTGACTTAAACTGTAGGGTCACTTCAATCCCTTTATCCAGAATCTTCGGTTGAACATGTAGCTTTTGGCGGAGCTCGTATCCCTTAGTGGCCAGGTGTGATCATCTTTTCTTTAGCATTACCGGTAGATCCGTCTTGATAGAAATCTTCTTTTCTTTGAAGAGTTTCCACTTGTTAAAGGAAGCTTGGTGGACATCGTTCTTGTCCTGCATATGGAAAAATTTGACAATGATAGGTTTAGGGGCATCCTTCATCCTCTTCCAGTTTCCCTGGGGGTGGCAATTAGTGGATGTTTACAAATGGCATCTCATTTGCTCGTTGTAGACCTAGGTCATTGAACAATTCGTGGGTTGTCTTTTCAGGGGCCAAGTGGTCTGGTAGTCCACGGATTTGGAGGTTTGACTTACGCTGGTGGAGCTCCTGTTGTAGAAAGCGTTTTTCAGTCTGTTCTTTATTTTCACTGAAAATTTCAGAAAATCCCTTACTCAAGGCGGCTATGTCGT